TCCATTCCTCATCCACCTCTCAACCACAATTTAAACCTAACAAATCTTAATCGACCCTTCCATTCCATTAACCGGGATGTCTCTGATAGATCTGAAATGGAAAATGAGAACATATTAGAAAAAGAGAAAAATTACCTAGGACAGAACGAGAAGATCACAAGAGATGAAGGGGTAAACAAGATCGTCGGAAAAGGACAGAATAAAAATGTGGGAGAGGAAAAGAAAACAAGAACGATTCAAGTTAAAGTAGAAGGGATATATTGTTCAAAATGTACTACCAAACTCAACAATCATCTTTCTTCCCTTCCTTTACATTTCACACCATTCGACATACTCAGAAAAGAAACGAAAATAACTTACGAACCTCGAAAACCATTTACTATCAGAGATATTTTGAAAGGATTATCGGATTTATCTCCTGAATTTGAAGCTGTTTTGGTCAAAACTCAAGGGATACAAGAGAGGAGTAGGGAAATACAAAAGAGAGAAGCTAGAAGGTTAGCGATTAATTTGATGATAGCGGTGGTTTTTGCTATACCTACGTTTATAATGTAAGTTATCAACCTTTCCATCATCTTTTTTGTCTCCTTCTCTCCTTGTGTCGCATTGTGGACTACCCCTCCATCACACTCTTCATCTTCTTATTTCTTTTGAGCTCACTTTTGACTGCCTTCTGTCCTCACTACTCCTGAGCGATCCTTCGTTTTGTTCGTCGTTAGTGCCTCGGAGCTCTCTTCCACCCGACTTCACCCCCGTGGGCTTCAATCACATACCCGACGCCATTATCCCCTCCCCACCAGGAGACCGGCAAGGGGAGATCCTTGGTACCAATGACATGCTACCCGGGAATCACGCTTGTCTTCAAATTGGTAAAAGAACTGATATCAGCGCTATAATCGGTATGGTCCTCCTACCCTCTCATAATCATTTCAGAATGCTTTGGATGTCTCCCAGATGGGGAGCAGCGAACTTAGGTACTATCATTTTATTCCCTCTGAGTACGGTGGTACAATTCGGTGTGGGTAGGTAAGTTACAATTCTTTTATCTATGAGTAAGATAGAAATGAAGAGTTGATAATAAAGGATTTTCTACCAAAGAGCTTTTGGACCTGTTTTAGCTAGATGGTATCGCCGAGCTGCACATTCTCATCGGAGAAATAAGATGAGAAACGGATGGAAGTGGAAATCGTTGGTGACTTTTGGAAGTATGGGTAAGTCATCATCTTTCTATGTCTCTTCTCAAATCTTTCAACCGACGTGTGTTGTACGTTTTACACATACTCTCGTTTGGTGATTCATCCCTTTTGTTGGTTTTTCGACATCGATCAAGTCGCTTCCCATTGTCCTTATGACCCTTCAGGGAGTTCATATGACATGTGTGACGTTTTTTTGAGAAGTCTTGAAGGTTTTTGAATTCAAAAAATTTAGTAGCAGGAAGTAAGAGTGGGATTGAGAGGATGGGAAGTTGATTGCTAGACCTTCTCGTCGCTCTCTCCACATCAGTATCATACTTCGCCTCCATCGCCATGCTCATCATCGACGTCCGAGCACCTTCCACTAATTCAAGCGTGGGAACATACTTTGACTCTTGTGTCTTCCTCATCATGTTCATTCTCCTCGGTAGGGTTCTTGAAGCTTTTGCTAGGAGTAAAACTATGGATGCTGTTGAAGCTTTGGGTAAGATGAGAGCTGGAACTGCTCTTTTGTTAGAATCGACCGTTTATACTTTTCAAGGAACAAACTTGGAAAACCGAGATAGCGCAGAGACTGTCATTGGGGCCGTCTCTTCAGTCACTGGGGCCATCTCTTCAGATTTCACCATTGATGCGAATCACTCGAAAAATACACCTCAAAATGTAAAGAAAAATGCATCAAATCAGTCAAAACAGAACACCAAGGATATTCTCTCGAACGCTACAATCAACGGAGATACGGTCAATTCATTCGCAAACCAAGGACAACACACTCGCACCATTCCTATCGATCAAGTAGAAATAGGAGATCATCTAATAGTTCCACCAGGTTCTTCACCTCCAACAGACGGATATATAATTTCAGGTCATACGACAATAGACGAATCTTCTCTCACTGGTGAATCTTTACCTATACCTAAATCTCCAGGTGATGAAATATACACAGGAACAATCAATTTATCTTCTCCTATAGTCATCTCGGTCAAATCAATAGGTCAAACAACAATGTTAGAAAAGATAATTTCTGCTGTTTCTACAGCTGGTGGAGGTAAAACTCCACTTGAACATTTAGCAGAACGTTTAACAGGTTATTTCGTTCCTTTTGTAGTTTACCTTTCTTTGATCGTCATGGGAATATGGTTAAGTTTGGTTTTCACTGAGAAAGTCAATGGGGAAGATTCTGGTGGGAAAGTTTTTTTCAGTTTAGAATTTGGTATTAGCGTTTTGGTCGTTGCTTGTCCTTGTGGAATAGGTTTAGCTGTACCTTGTGCTAATGCCGTTGGAAGTAATTTAGCTGCTAGGAAAGGTATTTTAGCTGTTAGTGGTGGAGAAGGATGGAATGAAGTTGGGAAAGTTGGTGTGGTAGTTTGTGATAAAACGGGAACTTTGACAATGGGTAAAGCCAGTGTGGTGGATGAGTGGTCGTGTTCCTCTGTGAATCTTTCCAACCAAAATTTGAGAAATTCGACCGAGAAACTCAAAATATCACAAAGCTTGGAGGGACTCGACCGCAAGAAGAAAGAGGGAGAAAAGGAAGATGAAACGGATTTTGAAGGTCGCCAACGGAAGATTGGAGATGAAACAAATTGGGAAATGTCAAGGAAAAAAGAAATGGAAATGATAATACGTTGTGTTGAAGAAAGATCAACACATCCATTAGCAAAAGGAATAACCGAATATATTTCTACCAAGTATAATTCGGAAGACACATTATCATCTTCAAATACGAATGTCAAGAACAAGGTCGGGACGAAAGTTGAATTGATCAAAATGGACGAAATTGCAGGTAAAGGTGTTCGTGCCATGGTCAACTTTGGTGAAGAGAGATTCGAAGTTTTGACGGGTAATCAAAGACTTTTGGACGTGAATAATGTGGAAATCTCTCCTGAGATACTGGAAATTCTGGGAAAGTGGGGAGAACAAGCTTTTACTTCGGTTTTGGTCGCTGTTCGTCCAGTCTTTATCCAGACGAATTCCATAGTGAGTCCACCGAGGGATACTACGGAGGTTGATGTTGGACCCATGAAATCAGGTTTCAAACTGGAGGAGAATACTTCGACACGGTTAACGAAAGATGATAATACCTTTCAGTTGGAAAAAGCTGGCATTACCACTTGTCCGAAAGAAGTAGAAATCGAAAGCGAGATTGTCGAAGAGGTCAAAGGAGAGGTTAAATCACAAGATGAAATCAATGTCCATGGACACTCAAACAACTCTCAATGGAAGATCATAACCGCCTACGCTCTCTCTGATCCTCTTCGACCTCAAGCTAAAGAGATAATCAAAGTATTACGTCAACAAGTGAAGATAATCATATGTACAGGAGATCGAAAAGATGTAGCATTATCTATCGCTCGACTACTAGATATTGATCCTACGGACGTTCGAGCGGGTGTAGGACCGGAAGAAAAAGCTAATGTGGTGGATGAAGTCAGGGAAGGATTACGTTCTTCAAACAACCACTTGTGTAATCATGAACAAGGAGACACGGTGTCAAGAGGTGGGATGGAGAATACCATTCCTGACGGAACTTCTGAGAAAGAGGAAAAGAAGAATGAGAGACGAATCTGGAACCGATTTGACGGTTGGGATTTGTTGAAGATGATAAGTCACAAATGGAAGACAGTGCGAGAAAGGGGGAGAGGGAGAGGAAGAGGAAGAAGAGATAAAGTCATGTTTGTTGGAGATGGGATTAATGATGCGGTAGCTTTGACTGCTGCTGATGTTGGTGTGGCTATGGGAGGTGGGTCGGAAGTAGCGGTAGCTGGGGCTGGTGAGTGTTGTTCTGATTTATCATCTTCATCTTCTCTAAAAGTCCACTTGTCCTTCTCATCCTCATATCATCATCTCCTCCATCTCGGCCTTCCTTCTACTTCTTCTTTCTCTTCTCCGTTTTCTTCCTCGTTGTCTTCCTACGTATTCTCTTTACTCTCTTCCGTTCTCTTCCTCTTTCTTCCTCTTTCTTCCTCTTTCTTCTTCTTTCTTCCTCTTTCTTCCTCTTTCTTCCTCTTTCTTCCTCTTTCTTCCTCTTTCTTCCTCTTTCTTCCTCTTTCTTCCTCTTTCCTGCTCTTTCTTCTCCTTCATTATCTCTCAGCAGGTCTGAGAAAGAAAACCATGACCATTATCTTTCTTCAACATCACTGAATCATTCTATCACCGTGACAATGCAGAAAGTATAGATCAAAGACAACGAGAGTACTCATCCATCCCACATCCTATATCGACCCTGAGGATTGATAAAAAAAAACTAATTCTAATTCCAGATTTCATACTGCTCAACTCTTCATTATCTTCCCTCCCTACCTTAATCCGTCTCTCTAACCAAATCTCGAATCGACAGAAATTGAACCTAGCCTGGGCTTGTATATTCAACATTGTTTGTATACCATTCGCAGCCGGAGTGTTTTATCCAGTCGGATTACGTCTTTCACCAGTATGGAGCGCTGTTTTGATGGCTTTGAGTAGTGTTAGTGTCGTTTGTAGTAGTTTAGCATTACGTTGGACTGCTGGATGATTTTTGTTTTTCATACCTCTTCCATTTCAACAATCATCAAAAGGGATAAGTACTCCATAGCTAGTTCTTAGCTCTGTAGATTGATTTGGGGTCATGTGTTTAGACGGTTCAAATGTATTACTCTACTCTACTTTACAATGATGTTAACATATAACTATACGATGTACAACAAGTAGGGAAGATTCAGTTAAAGAGGACGTGAGGGTGGTTGGAGAGACAGTATGATGCGATAAAGAATGCATAATTCTACATCAAGAATAAACTACTCGGTCATGTACCAGTACACGATTGGTTCAAGTCAAAAGTTTGGCATTCAACCTTCGTAGTTCTTGTGGTGTGAAACGTAAGATTACACTCATAACTCTTATCAAATTCGGTCTCATTTCTTTATGTTCTAAAAATTGTAAAATGACATTACGTAGGTACTGAATATCAGTATCATCATCTCACTAATGTCTAATTCTTCTTATCATCATGTCTTTCCCATCCGATATACAAATCAAGTCAACAACTCCGATACACAACTCCAAACCCATACCATGTCGATTGATCCAATCTCGAATCGATACCATCTAAAAGGGCTGGAGAAGAGAGAATCTTGATACCATTGAGAATCTGGAAACGAGCAGGTAACTCGGATAGTAGAGTAAGATAATAGAAATAAAAAAATTACTCACCTCCAAATTCACTTCCTCCTCTTCATTCCTTTCTCCAGGTTGACTAGTAACAACACTTTCTAAACTCCTTCTCAATTCACCTTCCCTCAAAATCTCAGAATTAGGACTCATCATACCTGAACCTGAACCTGATCTTGAACCCGAAGCCACCATCGTGTTTGATGGGTTAGCTCCCCAATATCCCACACCTGGATTCCTTTGACGTTCCATGAGTTGTACGCTGGATTGAACTTTACGAAGTTCATCACGGAGAGTTTTGTTGGTTTGTCGAAGTTGATTCGATAGGTTTTTAGAATCTTCAAGTTGAGTGTTAAGTGTTGTTATTTGTATTTGAAGAGAAGATATTTCATCTCTTGCTAGTTTCTGAAAGTCAATCATTGTTCTTACACAAACCTTTTCTCAACTTCAACAACTGATATAAATATGTCACCCTTCGTCGATGACACCAGTTTGTGGAATAAATGGAGTAACCCCTATTCGGGAAGCGACGACAAAGGGGTGCCGTGAGGATTATCGATGACAAAGGGATGTATGAGAAATTTATTGTTGGATGTGAAATCTGGAAGAGAAAAGAAAATTACAAGACTCACCTCCGCTTCAGCTGCCAAGACAACCTCGGCTCTAGCTTCTTCAATTTTAGTTTCCAAAACCAACACTTCCTTTTCAACTTGTCTTCTCTCCTCTTCCTTTGCTAAAATAGCATTATCTTTCTCTTGTCTACTTCTCAAACTATCCGCATATTCATTCTCTTTCTCCATAACCACTCTTCTCAACTTTTCGACTTCTCTCACTCTTTCTCCAATTTTAGCTGCCCATTCTTCCTCTACATCATTCCGTTCTTTCTCCAACGCTCGTATTCTCGCACGGAGTTCGTTGACTTTTGCTTCTGCCTTCGTCTCCGCCTCGGCGAGTAAACGTTGGACATCCACGGCGGACGTTCCTGATGGACCTGGTAAGACGCTGGATGACGAGGAACCATTCGGTAATAACGCCCGACCACGTGTGGGAAGAAGGGAAGAAGACGAAGAGGATAATTGATCTTCGAGAAGGTTACATCGTTCGGTCATTTCACGTAGTTGGAATTCAAGTTCTTTCGTACGTGATTGATAAGTTTCTTTCTCAGATAAAGCGGATTCAGACTCGGCTTGACGAGTTTGTAGGAGTTCGAACTGCTGTTGTTTTGTCGTGGCGAGTTCTTTTACGGTAGTCTCGAGGGAGTTTATTCTGGTGGATTTGGATGAAAGTTCTTTAGCGTGGGTGGCCTGAACGCGTCAGCTACTTGTTTCACTCACTTGCACCTCACAGTGGTGGTGAAAAGTATAGGCAGTGTAGATAATCTGTGAGAGGAGAAGATATCCCACCTTGGTAGTGATCATCTCCAACTCCCATGCGGCTTTCTTACTTTGCGACTCTTTCTCAAACCTTTCTTTGGCACTAGCCAACTCTCGCTCGAAACCTTTCCTCAAAGCCGTCACTTCCCTCTCTTTCTCCGCTTTCACCCTCTCAGTCTCTTCCGTAGCTCTACTCCTCTCAGCCCTTTCCTCAGCTCTATCCCTCTCTACCTCTTCCTTATCTTTCTCCGCTTTCACCAACTTCGCCCTGACGGTTTTCAACAACGAAATCGCCTTTGTCCTCTTCTCTTCTTCCTCTTTCGCTGTAGTCTGTGCTTTTGATATATCCGCTCTTAGTTGACCCAAGGTTAGAAGTTCGGTAGCTCTCTGAGCCAAGTTGGTTTCAGCGGTGGAGAGTTGATTCCGGAGTTTAGTGATGAGTTCTTGTTGAGATGAAGATTCTAGACGATGTGTATCACGGATCTCTTCCATTCTAGAATCTTGTACTGAAGATCAGCGCTTGACCCATCTGAGGAATGTGGGATTTACGTTTGATTTGAGCTTGGAGTCGTTGCATCTCAGCGGTGATCATTTCCACTTTGGCAGTCATCATTCGGATCCAACCTTCTAAAGCTTCTATGTCTTTTATTCCACCTTCCAGAGGAGTGAGCTCTTTGATAATCTTATTGGCTGCTTCGATTTGCTCTGTAGCCATGGTATGTTGAGAAGATAATTCTATGTCTATCAGTTCTCTAGAAGACATCTTGACGATGATATGACAAACGCACCTTGATACTTTGCTGTTAGCTTCGCCAGCTGCTCTTCAGGAGTTCCAGCCAGTTGCAATGCCCGGTCCGTCTCTTCCGTCCCATCGCGAGCATCATCATCCCCCGCTCCAGAGGCAATATCGATCTCACTCGAAGTGACCCCAAGTTCCTCCTCCAACTTCTCCAGATCAGGGGTGAGCCCTGCCAGTCTGACTTCCGAAACTCCTCCACTATCCTCAACGATAGACCCTCCACTGGAGTCTATGGGATCCGTGTGTTCTTTCAGATCAGGTACGCGCAGTTCCACGGTCGAGGGGCTGATGTCGGGTGAGGGAGGGAGAGGGTAGGTAGCCGGATCATTTGGATTTGGCGGAGGGTATAGAGGATTCACTGCGATATCTGTTTGTGGAGGTATTGGCGTTCGAGCTCTTGGTGTGTTCGAAGCGCTTGGAGAGTCTGATCCCACGGAGAATTGTGAGACTTGCAAGAACTTGGCAGGAGAACCAGGTGTAGGGATCATTGCTGATGTGGACACTCCAGGATTAGGCGAAGTGGATTGACCATCTTGAGATATGAGCGGTGAAGTTATCGTACTACCATTTGAAGAACCCAAATGAGTTCTGTGTCCTTCTATAGATACTCTCCCAAATGCTAAACTCTTCCTCAAACCTGAGAGAGCACTCTCTGCCAAAGCCCCAGCTTGAACATATCCATGATTCCCAGGAGCATGTTTAGTGGGTGATGTCGCAGATTGAGAAGTATCTTTACTGGGTGATAATTCCCTCTTCGAAGTTTCGAGAGGCGATGAGATACCTAGGATGGAAGGACTGGTAGGAGGAGGGGATTTGACGAGAGGTGAAGAAGGACCATCTTTTGGGGAAGAAGGGTGTAGGTTGGACGTGGAAGTTCGATTTTGGAGTGAAGTACCTGTAGCTTCTAATTGATTGACGGCAGCTTTGAGACGATCAGCCAGACTTGTACCGAACATTTCTCAAGTCTAGATATCATATGAGAGATAAAGTAACATGTAAGGGTAAAAGGGTGGTGATAGAAGGAAAGAAGAAGGGAGGATGGTACAGTCGGTTAAGTATTTAGGGCGGTGCTTCCTTCTTCGCTGTCACTCCTCACCCTCCTATTACCTACTTGGCATCATCTTTCATCTTTCTATACAATATAAACATCTATCAATTCATCTTCGACTCTAGGCGCAGAGACGACCATCGCTAAGATGGGTTACTGGCAGGGCGCCCTCGTCAAGATGGGGTTAGCCCAGCCAGGACCCAAAATCTCTTCACATGATCGTGCCGTCCTCGAGTGAGTTTATAACCTTACAAGCTTCGTTGAGTATGACCGAATGCTGATGTAGAGCCTCAAACTACAGAGGGACAAGATGAAACAATATCAAAAACGAGTATGTCTACCTCTATTCGTCACAGTGGGGAAGATTCGGGTGCTGAGCATACAGCTTCAGGTCATATTGGACAGAGAACAGGATATCGCCAAGGAAGCGTTGAAAGTGGGTAACAAGGTATGTGTCATCCTGGTATACTTTAAGGAAGACTGACCAGAAGAGCAGAGCTTTGACAGCTTTGAGACAGAGGAAATATCAAGAACAATTGTTATCCAGGACAGATGCTCAGTTGCAGACTTTGCAAGAACTCGTGAGTCGATATCTCACCACCATATCTACGAGGGAGTAGGGATGAGAATGTCAGTCCAAGTAGTATAATGACTGATGAGATAGGTCAGCACCATCGAGTTCACACAGATCCAATCGACCGTCATGCATGGCTTGTCTGTTGGAAACGAAGTGTTAAAACAATTACATGCGGAGATGTCTTTGGATAAGGTGGAGAGACTTATGGATCAGACCAGGGAGGGAATTGAGTATCAGAGGGTAGGTCATGATTTGGATCTTCACTTCCACCTGCTCTTCTCTTCCCTCGTCTCTTCCTTCCGTCACTGCTATAGCACTTCGACAGACAGACTTGTATTCCCACTCCGTTTTGTTACTGGTCTCCCCTCCTCCCAGTAAACCGCACCCTGTCAACCCCCCTGGAGCCTTTCGTGAAGATATACCAGCACTCGGTTCTGTCGGTCAAGAAGAGACGTATTGATTACATAGGAAATCGACGAAACTCTCATTTCCAAAATGTCACCAGAAGAAGAAGAGGCCGTTCAAGCGGAATTACTACAACTACAACGTGATGCTCTGGTACGTTTTGTGCTATCTCTTCACAGTGAATATCCAATGACCTCTAGCCGAGTGTACCGATCGAAGAAAGAGAAGAGAGGGTGGAATTGCCTTCGGTACCGGGGGAAGAACCAGCAGAAGTGCCAGAGGAAGTCAAAGCGGCAGGTGAGTATCCTATCTTAATAAGACTGAAACGGGGTGACTGAGAAAGCAGAGAAGAAAGAAGACAGGGTGGTATTGGCTGCTTGAATAAATATGTTTTTGGTCGTCGGTCAGATCTGTTGTAAAGGTACCTACCATATGGAGGAATGCATTGAAGATGTACAATGACTAGGGAGGAAGTGTGGGCGTGTTGAATATTTTGAACATGAAGGTCCTCAAGCTATCTGCTTATCTCATATTGGAGTTATAGCCCACTAATTCATATGGTGTCCACCATAGAGCAAAGCAAGCAAGCTGCTCAACCCGGAATCGTCGGGAACTGGAATTCCCGAAAGTCAATGAAAGCGCGAAGATCACTCTTCACCTTGTGTTTGCCTTTCAACTTGATATCCACCTACCCATCTACCTACCTAGATCACTCAGCAATCTATTTTGGACACTCTCAATACTTGTATGATAGCTTTCTTAGAAACCCAATAGGACGTTCAAACCCCACGAGTGACCCTGCAAACCAAGCATCGAAAGCAGGTCACGACAACAATATGTCATCCACCGAACTCATCCCACTTTTCCCCTCTGCGACCCATCCTGCCATCCCTATAGCTTCTCAGATTCTCTCCACATTACGAAGTCTTACCGCTCCAGGAAGAGGCAATGATCTCAGGTCTGAGGAAAGGGCGGCTTTGGTAGGAGTGAGTGCTTTGTTAGGGTGCGAGAGGCGAGTTAATCTCTTTCCACTCCTCACATCTCCTCTCCACAGACCTTATCCATTTCCACTCAAATCCGTTTCAGTATTCCTTCGTCTCTGCGTACCATTCAAGACTCCTCACTTTGATGAAATCATACTATCGATTTGATTGGTTTTCTTTCATATCGATGATGTATCTGTACTAGGGAAGAAATGACGACATGTGTTGATTTATAGAATCCAATCTCATGATTTATCCGAACAAACCGCTCAAAAAGCAAGTTCAGTATCTAAAACTCATTTTCATTCCGCTTTATCCAAATCAAGAAGATTATTATCTACGAAAACGACCATTTTACCTCTTCCTTCAAGAACCGCCAAATCATCGTCTCGTTCACCTCACATATCCTCAAATATCGTCTCTGACTCAACAACATTCATTTCTGTTGATGATCTTGACGAATCAAGTACCAAATCTCTCGGATCAACATCTACTACTACAAATCAAGTGATATCGAATTTACCTTTCACACCGAAGAAAAAGTATAAACATATTTCAGGCATTGATATTTCTAGTTTAGTCAAAAGTCCTCATTCTCCTGCTAAAGCTTCTCCTTTGAGACAGAGTACGACAAGGATTACAAGTTTGATCAAAGTTTCAACACAGAGGAAATCGAATGTCATCAAAGATCCCAGATATAAAGTTTCGAAATCCGTAAAGAAATCGAAGGAGGGGTCTAAAAGGGTAGAAAATAATTCAGACGATGAGTTGAGTTTGGGTGATCGTCTCGGAAGTAAAGATATGGAAGATGAAGAAGATTCAGGATCTGATGATGAATTGAGATTAAAAGAAGATGATATATATGAAGATGATGAAGAGTCAAATACAGAAGAAAAAGTTGGAATGGAAGGAGAGAAAACACCTACGAAATCGATGAAATTCGGTATGAAGAAAGGTATAGATTTAGAATCTATTTCTACATCTCAAATTGATTTCCCCAATAGTTCTGGAAGTAAGAATAAGAGAAGAAAACAAGGGGATACAACTGCGTTTTTGGCATTACGACCTGGATCTGGTATCGATGTCACACCATCACCTTCGGCAGGTTCTGTCGTCTCTTCTAGTTTGGAAGGTGATCCATGGGTGGAGAACCGACGTTTATCAAAGGGAAAATCAGTTCAAAATGATATGTTAAGAAGGGAGAAAAGAAAAAAGAGTGAAGCGAGAAAGAAAAGGGATTGGACTTATTCCGAGAGATGTTGGACGGATGAGAAAGTGACAGAGGAGAATAAGATATTGTGTGATCAGGTCAGTCCCTTTTTTCCAGTTGTTAAAGGGTGAAAAGGAGATTGATGATAGCTATGGAAAGTTTTACCTGTATGGCTAGAAGAACGTAGTCGGATAGAAATGGACCGTTCAACTGAGAAGGAACTTGATAAGGGAGGGAATTTGTTGGAAATCTTGTTGAATCAATAATTCGTGAGAAACCCGAATCATCAAGATAACACATTTTAGAGTGGAGTGATCCACGATCTACAACCTATACTTTCTTGATGATTCTGTTCTTCGCGTGCATCGATTGAAAAAAAAAAAGATACTCTACTCTGACGTACTGCGCAAAACAAAATGGCAAGATGAGAGTAAAAGTGAATGAATGCATATGCAACCATCATGTTGTAACCAAAACCATAACCTACATGATACAGCGAGAGAGAGAGAGAGAGAGAAATACAAGACACAAAAGTGAAACAAAAACAAACAAAGTATTACAAGAAGAATCATGACATGATGTAATCATGATGGTATTGTGGGATTATACAAACTTTACTCAAAATCCTATAATCTGTTAATGTTTGAGGATCAGTGTCTGAACCACTATCACTCTCTTCGTCTTCTCCCATTTCCATTTGTTCTTGTTCCGCTATGAGCGTGGGATCAATTTCCCCTGGTTGATAACCTGTGACAAACGTAAAATGATAGGGCGGGGCTTCCTAGGTGTCAGGTGGGATCATCAGATGAGATGTTGTGCATTTTATGATTTGAGTGATTTTCGGTTGTCATATTGCGAAAAAGAGATCTGCGCACACACATGTGAACATGAGGTGTGTCCG